GTGAGCAGTTCCTGGGCAGCCATTTTAAGGGGGTGAGTTTTGGACTTTCAAAAGCTCTTGGGGAGAGTGTGTTGTTGCTGACGGGGTGAAGCTTTTGTGAGTCACACTTGTGAGTCACTACGGGTGGAGTAAGTAGTCTAGCTCTATACAACTCCTCTCAGAGCCTTCAAGACCCTTCTAAGGGAGGAGGAGGAGGAGGAGAGCAGTTCCTGGGCAGCCATTTTAAGGGGGTGAGTGTTGAACCTTTAAAATCTCTTGGGAGAGTGTGTTGTTGCTGAGGGATAGAGCTTTTGTGAGTCACACTTGTGAGTCACTAGGAGTGGAAGTAGCAGTCTAGCTCTATACAACTCCTTTCAGAAACATGTCAGAAACAACCTGAAGGCACACAACAGCAACAACAACAACATTTATTTTAGAGTAACCCCCTCAATGGTTTGCCATATTCACTCTTTTGGAAGCTCTTATACTTGCTCTAAAATATCAGATGTACTAATAGTGAGACTCCATTTCCTCTATCTCTGAGTAGCTACAACCTGTTTTCCATGCATCGGAAATTGGCAGCTGGGTGTTGCAATTTAAAGGACGTAGCCTCCAGGAAGTTTCAGCATGTTTTGCTTGTAGAAAGTTTAAATGTGACTTAATACATTTTAATTTTAATATCCACTGTCAGACAGGTTGATGAGTGATAGCAGAGTGGATCTCTTTTCCTTCTTAACAGCTTTCAGTACTTGCTGATGGGTTGAAGTGGAACCGCAGATTTACCTCAGTGATTATAAGCAGAGAGAGAATGAGGCAGAAGCGATGACAGTTTAAGCTAAATTATGTGTGGGTTTACATTTTGTCTCCTTTATTTCCTGCTACTGTGTTGTTGCAGTTGCATACTCAGAATAACTTAGCTTGATTTGTAGTTCTCACTAGAACAGGTGAATTTTTTTTAAAATTTGCTTTCATATATTACAAATATATCTTACAGATATCATTTCAATTACTTTCATATTATGCAATAATACTATATACTACTATAATACAATAGTAATACAACAATTATCTATTCGCATTCCATAATTATTTAATTTTTGAGCTTCCTCCATTCTTTCTATTTTCCCCTTCCCTTCTATTAGACATCCTATATCTTTATCTCATATCCTACATCTACACTTTATCTATTCAATATTCTTCCTTCATTTACATATTTGTGTCATTTACAACTTGTCCCTTATAGATAACATTCTCTATTGATTGTTATGGACCTTGCAAGCTTCTTTTATATCTCATATTGTTTATTTATTTGATATGCAGTTCTTGACCTTCCTTTTCTCGGTCCAAGATGATTTATAGGTAATCATCTTTTCCTCTGCTTAGTCCAAAATAGTCATCTATTTGACCCATCTACCTTTGCAGTATTTCATGACAGCTTCCCAATCTTCTTTCAATTTTTAATCGATTTTCCATTTATTAAAGATGTAAGCCTGTCTATCTCAATCATATCTAGTATTTCGTTCAGGCAGTCATCTGTCAAAGGTATTTCAGGGCCTCTCCATTTCTATTTCTGTGCAATTGCAAGTCTGGCCACTGTTAATATATACAGTACACACTTTAAATATTTTCTGACTTCTTTGTCATCTAAAATATTTAATTTGAAGAATTCTGGCTCTAATTTAATCAGTATTTGAAATATTTTCTGCACCGTTTCATGGACTTCCAACCAGAATCTTTTTATTTTTGGACAAGTCCACCATAGATGATATAATGTTCCTTCTTTTTCCTCACATTGCCAACATTTCCCTTATCTTGTTCTTGTAAATTTTTGTCAATCTAGGTATCATCTTGTAAATGTTTTCCTTTATGTCTATACTTAGTGTAAATTTCAGATCCTGACCCCAGGCTTTCTCCCATTTCTCTAATTGTATTGGGTGGCCTATGTTTTGGGCCCATTTTATGGTACATTATTTCACAGACTCTTGTTCTGTATCTATTTTTAATAGTAATTTGTAGAACTTTGAAATAGAACCTTTTTTAGCTTCAAATATAATATCGTCTAGTTCTGATTTAGTTCTTGAAATGCCTTTCCTCTTAAGGTCTATTCTTGTTCTTTCTCTTAACTGCCTGTATTGAAACCATCGGCATTTTTGTCCTTCCTCTTTTAGTTCAGCTTCTGTTTTCATTCTTAGATTTAACTCGTCGCAAATTAACAAGTCTTGATATTTTAGCCATATCCCATCTTTTCTTCTATTAATTCTTGTAAATGCCTCATGTGTAGAGGTCCAGACTGGTAACTTTTCATAAAATTTGTTTTTATATTTCATCCAGACTCTCAAGAGGGACCGTCTAATTATATGATCATTAAAATCTTTGTTTACTTCTAATTTATTATAGTATAGGTAGCCATGCCACCCATACCTCGAGCTAATTCTTTTGAGATTGAGTAAATTTATGTCTTTTAGTTGGATCCATTCTTTAATCCAGTCCATGAAGCAGGAATGATAGTAGATTTTGAGATGCCCATACCTCCTCTTTTTTGCAACTTTCAGAAACTTCCAGTGAATTTACGGTTTTCCCCCAGCCCAAATAAATCTTAAGATATCTTTATTCCTTTGTTTGAATGGTTGATCATTAATTATAATTTGTAGATTCTGAAATAGGAACATAAATTTTGGTAAAATGTTCATCTTTATATTGGCTATTCTACCCTGTTCTAGTTGGTCATTTTTTCTAAATCTTGCTTGTTCCCTTTCCACAGAGTCTGGTAGTTATTATCAAACAATTCCAAATTATTTTGTTAAATATATTCCCAGATATTTTATTTTTCTTTGAATTTGGAAGTCTGATTTCTCTTGAAGTTCCTTCTCTTCCTCTTTTGTCATGTTTAGAGTCATTCTTACCAATTTCTTGTTTACTTTAAATCTTCATATTGTCCAAATCAAAAATGTTCTTTTGATTCATTGTTAGTGAACGCAGGATTCTAATTCTTGATCAGTCCAGACAGAGACACAATATTTTGGATTATGTGTAGGTGCAGGGGACACAGCACTCTTCTCCTTATCCAAAATGCTCAGTACCAGTAGTGTTTTGGATTTCCATTTTATTTATTTTTTGGATTTTGGAATACTTGTGTAAACATAATGAGATATCTTGGAGATAGGACCCAAATCTAAACACGAAATGTATTTATGTTTCATATGGCAAACCTCCTCTGAACAAATCTTGCCACAAAAAGCCCATGATAGGGTTGGCATTAATTGGAAATGAAGGCACACAACAGAAACAGTGTGCGACTTATATACATAGCCTAAGGATAATTTTATATACAGTATTTTTTAATTTTTTGTGTGTGCATGAAACAAAGTTTGTGTACAGTGAACCATGAGAAAGCAAAGGTGTCACTATAATATATTTTACGTTCTATATTTTGGAGTATTTTAGATTTCAGATTTCTAGATGAAGGATAGAGGGATACTCAAACTATTTTGCCCTTTCTCCTTTTGTTCCTTGATTAAGTTTCTTTCTTCTTAGATCCTTCTATTGTGTCTGCTATTTAATATTTACCAACCCTGCCCTTTTGTTCTCTTCAGCCTTGGACTGTTTCACAGAGGAAAAAAGTGTTCTTAATTAGTATACATTGCAAATTTACTGGACAGTTCTATCCCACATCACTATTACGAGGAACTATTATCATTGACAAAGGAAATAATACTTAGTTAAGTGGAAGGCAGTAGGAAAAGAGTAAGGCCACATTATAGATGGATTAATTTCATCAAGGAAGCCATGGTCCTGAGCTTGTAAGGCTTGTTCAGGGCACTTGATCACTTTGGCTCTTGGAAGTCCTTCATTCATAGGGATCATCATTAGTTGAAGCTAACTTGACAGTAAAAACCAAGGACAACAAATTGTCATTAAAATTTAAATCTCTTCCAAAGTAGAGGTGCTCCCTCTGGTATATTTCACTAAAAATTACTGTTATACTTCACTAAAACTTTGATCCAAGCAAGTATCAGTGGGCAGAAAATGAAGTTTGATCGTTGGCAAGTCTGTGTGTAGCTGGAGAAGATTAGGGGAAATTGGTATAATGCATTTTGATACACACCATAGGTCAGGGCAGGACAGGCCTCAGGCTTGTAGCATGCAATTTGTTAATTTATTATTGACTTGAGCGCACCAACTTTTTATAGGAACAAAGAACATAGAATTAACCATAGGCATTTTACTCAGTAGTTACAAGATTGTAAGCACAATTTACCATCTTGTAACTCCTGGGGATTCCTGGTAACAGTCATAAACAACAAAAAGTGACCCTAAAAGCCTCCCTTTCCAACGTGACAGCACTTTGACCTAAGTGTTTCTGAGGTGCTGCAGATTGTGGCACTGAGGG